TTCCCTCCTCCCACCTTTGCTTCCCAGCAGAAAGCTACTTCTTTGGCAGAGCAAATCTGCCTTCCTTCCAAGCAGCCAGATGTAAGTAAGTAGGTCAGACAAGGACCAGAGCGCCTCCACGACAGCACTTTAGAGCAAAGCAAAGCGGGCAGCGAGCCCTGACCTGGAACGCGCCCTGGCACCCGCGGAGCAGGGCAGCCTGCGTCACTTGGAGGTAACACGCCCAGAGCTGGCTCTGCAAGGGCAGAAAGCCCCACAGCCTGGCTGCGCTCCTGCACGGCAGCTTTTATTTCAGGGCCTGACATCCTGCAGCTACAGCGGCCACAAGCTCTGCAGCCTCACGCACCGCAGCGCTGGCTGGCGAGGAGCCGTGTGGAGCCACACACCTACTTACAGCTGGAGGAATTAATTCAAACAGATCTCACACACTGCAGAAGGAGCAGTGCAGGGGGTGAAGGTGGCAAAATGGTGCCAGTCACCTATGCTGACATCCCAGCACACGCTCGTGGCAGCACTGGGCTTGGCACGCCAACAGTGCGGAGGGACGGAGCCAAGCCCGCCCTCACCCCGCTCAGCACAAAGAGGGGTCTGTGCCGGCAGCCATGGGAAAGCAGGCTGCGTGCTCACATTCCTGTGGGGCTGGGGGGGGCTCTGGTGCCAGGAGGCAGCCCCCCACCAACACAGCCACTGTGCTCGGGCAAGGTGCAAAGGGGCAGCTGCACCCAGAGGCTCTGCGGAGCAGCGGTGATACAACATCTCAGGGATGGAAGGTGCTCAGCAAGCACGAAGCAGCCCAGCAGCCAAGCCTGGAAGCAGCACGTGATGCTGCAGTGAGCCCTGCAGAGCACAGCCCAGCCAGGCAGACAGACAGGCTGGATCGGATCCTTCACGGCCGACAGCAGCAGGGCAGCAACACCCACAACAGAGCGCAGGGCAGGCCGGGGCAGCCCAGGCAGGCAGTGCAGCAAAGCCAACTCTGCCAAAGGTAAAGCGGGGCCGCTTTGGGACGGCGGCACCCCTCCAAGCACGCCTGCAAGGGGCACCGGCTCCGCTTCAGTTCATGGAAATGACTTCCATGCAAAACCTCCGCCCGCAGCTGGATGCCACCTCACCGGCTCTGCGCCGGTCCCGGCGTACCTGGGAACCGCAGCGGGGCGGTGAGCAGCCGGTCAGCGTCAGCTGCGGGGCGGGGGGCGGCTCGCACCTCCTCCGTGTGCAACCGGCGGGCCCCAAACGTCCGGGGTAACCGGGCAGGGCGTGAAGGGACGCCGGCATTCATTCATCAGAGCGGGTCAACAGCGACGGCAGCGGCGGGAGGGCGAGCGCGGGGACGCGCCGGGCAGCAGCGGGAGCTCCGCGCACAGCGGCTTTCCCGGCACCCAGCAGTGCGCGGCGATGGGCCGCCCGGTGCCGGCCGTCAGCGTTCGGGGTCAGCCCGGGCCCTGCCTGTCTGTCCGTCCGTCCGTCCGTCCGGGGGTCGGCGGGGCAGAGGCGGTACCGGCAGCACGTCGGCAGGGCGGCTCGGGCCGCTTCAACCCGCGGCACAGCCGAGCCCCGCTCCCGGCCGGCCCGGCGCACACGGAGGCCCCGCACCGGGACGCTGCGAGGACGGCGGAGCCGCCGCACGGGCCGCTCCCCGGCACCTCCCGCCAGGCCCAAGGCCGCACCCCGACCCGGCGCTCCTTTCCCAGCACGGCCCGGCGCCGCAGACGCCCGACGCGGCCCCCCCGACCCCGCGGCCCCGGCCCCGCTCCTCACCGCCGCCCGCGGCCTCCGCCCGCCGCACCCGGAAACGCGGCCCAGCGGCGCCCTCCGCCTCCAGCCGCCCCGTAACAAAATGGCGCCCGCCGCTCCCCGACTGCGCCTGCGCGGCCGTGCTGCGGAAGTGGGCGGAGCGGAGCGCCGTGTTGGAGGGGCCGGGCGGACATGTTGGGAAGGGCGCCGTGCCTCTGGGCCTCCGAAATGTTGGGGTATTTTGGCGGTCATCCGGGCGTCCTAGGACGGATGAGAGCGAGAAGCAGCCGAAGAGAATGCGCTCTGCGCTAAGAGCCGCCGCACAGAACCTGCAGACCGCGGCCCAACGCCTGCGTCTGTTATCCGCCATATTGGGAAGGTCGCCCGGCGCTATTCCGGTGGCCATTTTGAGGCGATCATGTGGTTCGTTCCGGCCGACATGTTGGGGAGGTCGCAGCGCCCCGCTGCGGCCATCTTAGGAAGCTCGCTGATCGCTGTTACGTCATCCGTGACGTCACCAGCAGCAGCGTGACGTCACGCACGCACACCACGACGTCATCCCGCGCGCCGGACGCGTGCTCGGGGCTGCCGTTTATTGGCGCTCAGACTCTTTTTTTCTTTTTTTTTTTTTTAATCCTTTTTTCCTCCTTTTTCTTAAAAAATAAATTTACAATTAAAGACGCATTTGGTACAAAATATACACATTCTGGGGCCCGGGGCCCAGGCGGAAGCGGGGACGGGGTCGTGGGGACACATACAAAAATAGAGGGGGCCACGGGGGGTGGGGAGGCCCCAGGGACCCCCGGGCAAAGTGCAGAGTGCGGGCGGGCGCCGCTCACTGCCCGCCGGGCTCCAGCTTGTAGGACAGCTCGAACAGCAGGTTCTGGTTGTCGATCACCTGCAGCTGCCGCACGTAGGCCTTGGTCTGCAGCTGGCTGGGGGACGGCTCCAGCTCCAGGCCTGGGGACGAGGGGGGAGAGGATGGCGTGGGGCTGTGCGCCCCCCAACCCCACAGGAGGGGAGCCCGGCCGACCCCATGGCCCCGTCCCGTGTCGCGGATCCCTGGCCCTGACCCCACAGCCCCAGCTCCGTCCCAGATCCCCGTCCTGGATCTCACCTCCCCACCCACATCCCCATCCTGGAGGATCCTGTAACCCACCCCCAGCCCACCACGCCATCCTGGATCCCCATCCTGCATTCCTACCCCAGCCCGGATCCCGCATCCCCATCCCATCCCATCCCCATCCCACAGCCCCCCCACCGCCCCCCGCAGTTTTAGGGCCAGGATCTGTGCCCCACTCACACAGCGGGCGGCTCCGGTACTTGCGGATGGTCCTCACCTTCTCTGCGATGCAGTGCTGGAACACAGCAGCCCCGTCAGCCCCCCCAGAACCCCGCAACCCCCCCCCATTCACCCTCGGGATGTTGTTGTGGCCCCCCCAGGGCCCCCAGATCCCCACTGCGCCCCCCCCGGGCACAGCACCCACCAGCTTCTCCACGTTGACCAGCCCATCCAGGAGGGTTTTGCTGCCTTCATGCAGGAAGGTCAGATCTTGGGGAGACAGGGAAGTGAGGGGTGGCCCCACGGGGAGCAGCAGGACCCCCCCAAAAATGTCCCCCACCACACCTTTGAGGATGAGTGGAATGAAGGGGATGAGGGGGGGCTTCATCTTGGCCAGCACCTCCCGGTAGGTCTTGTGGTTCCTGCAGGGGTCCTGAGGAGGACGATGGGGGGGGGAGTCAGGGGTGCAGGCAGCTCCCCCCACACAGGGTGCACCAACCACAGAGAGCAGACAGCCCCAGGAACACCCCCACCCACTGCTTCCAGAACCCCCCCCCGAGCACCCTGATGCTTCAAGCATCCCCCCACACGCCCCCATTACAAGCAGACCCCCCCATGGATGCTCCGGACCCCTGTGCCCGCGCTGCCCCTCACCGTCAGGTTCTCAAATTTCCGAAACAAATTCTTGAATTTCCCTGGGAGTTTCTGCAAGACAACACCCCGGGGGGGGCTGTGAGCAGCTGGGGGGGCGGGGGCCAGAGTGGGGGGTCCCACACAGCCCCTCACCTCCCAGGTGAGCCGCAGGCGGCTGATGGCGGCGTTGTTGAGCCCGATGACGATGGCGTAGAAAGAGAGCATGTCCTGGTTCTGCTTACATCTGAGGGCGGTGGGTGAGCCCCAGCAGCTTCCCTGCGCCCCCCCCTGCGCCCCCCCCGGCCCTACACTCACATGGCAGCAATTTTGATGAGCTTCTTGAGCAGATGCGCGCGCCGACCCAGCGACTCGCAGAGCAGCAGCTCCGTGCCCACCCAGTGCTGCACCTCACTGCACCGCTGCAGCAGCAGCTCCAGGTTGGCCGTCTCACGCCGCCCGCGCTCCCCATGGAAAACGTAATCCACAAACTCCAGCTGCGGGGGGGGGAGGTCGTGGTGTTGGAGGGGGCGGGGGGTGATGCTGCAGGGACCCCCCATGGGGCAGCCCTGGGGGAGGTACCGTGCCCCCCCACACACCTCGTGGATGCAGCGGAAGAGCTCCCAGTGGAAGGCGGTGAGGTGGTTGGCGATGTCCTCGGGCTCCACGCGGTGGATCTCGCTGTCCCCAGGCACCACCTGGATCTCCTCCGGGAGCGGCACCTGCAATGGGGGGGGGTCCGGGGTGGCTGCAGGATGCGGAGGGGTCACATTGCGGCCCCACCGACCCCCCCGGCGCTCACCAGTGACTCAAAGGTATCGCGGGTGCAGGCGAAGAGGTGGCTGTTGATGCCCAGCGTGGTGAAGACGCACTCCTCGCTGGGCTGCAGCACGGCTTTCTCTGCAGGCAGAGCGCAGTGGGGGGTGGGGGTCAGCCCTCAGCTCTCAGCCCGCACCCCGTGCCCCCCCACGGCCCCATAACCACCTCCGGATGAGGCCACGGTGACGAGGATGAGCGCATCATCGCGCGCGCTCTGCTCCTCTGAGTACTGCAGCTTCTCGGTGACGGAGGTGAGGATGTCCTGCACTGAGGCCGAGAGGCGGCTGCGGATGGTGACGTACGAGTGATCCGGCATGTAGACACGGCAGAAGACTGCGGACGGACAGACAGATACGTGGGGTAGCAGAGCAGGCCGGGATCCCCGGCGGGGCCACGGGGTCACTGCGGTTGGGAGCCCTGGGGGGGTTTGGGGCACAGCACTCACTCTCGTCGGAGCCTCGGAAAGCCACGCGCGTCTGCAGGCACGCATCGATGCGGCGGAAGTGGCGGAACAGCGGCTTCACCTGTTTGCTCGGGGGGGGGGTCTCGTCGGGGACCCTGCGGCACCGCGTGGTGTCAGCAATGGGCACCGGGGGGCACAGAGCCATGGGGGCCGCAGACAGATTCCCCCCCCCCCCTCTGGTGGGGTATCACAGGGGTGGTCTAATGGGCCCCAGGTGCAGGGCATCCCCGAGGGCCACAACCCCATGTGTTCCTTAGAGACCCCGTGGGGACCCTGCCCACCCCACAGGGACACCACGAACAACACCAGGACCCCACGCCCTACACAGGAAACCCCCACACCCCACAGAAACACCTTCCTCTACATAGGGACCTCACTCCCCGGGGTACCCCTCCACCCCATAGGACTCCATGCACAAAAGAGGGACCCCCTCACATCCCCTGGGGACCCACTGTGCTCCATCAGGACCCCAAGCACCCCACAGGGACCCCATGCTCCCTATCAGGAGGACTCCATGCATTACACAGGAACCACCTGAACCCCTTCAGAACGGCCTGTGCACCCCCCCCAGGTACCCTCTGCACCCCATCAGGACTCCATACACTGCACTCCCACCACCACATCGGAGACCCCTGGCACTCCCCGGGGACCCCACTCACTTCAGCTCCACCGTCTCCACCAATTGGTGCAGCTTCAGGATCTCATCCTCCAGCTCGTGGTACAGGGATGCGTCCTTCATGATGAGCAGATACAACTCCTGGGGGGCGAGAGGGGTCAGGGACCGGCGGTGTGGGGGGGGCCGCGGGGAGGGGAGGGCTGCACCCACCTTGATGACCTTCCCCGCGCTCTCCTCCTCCTGCAGCAGCCCCTTGTAGGTCTCGAGGAAGTGCAGCAGCACCGCCAGCACCGCTCGCTTGCGCCGCAGCCCGGACCCCTCCTCCCAGCGCGGGGGGGCCCCATCGCCCGCCAGCACGAAGGTGGCAGCGTTAAGGAGCAGCGGGGACACGGGGACCTCCTCACACCCGGGGGGGGCACCGCGATGCCCTCCTCACGGCCTCCCCAACGCCATCCCGGTGTCCCCGCACGCAGCCCCGCGGGCACCTTTGTGTCACCCCCTGCACAGCCGCCGCTCACGCTGATGACACCGTCACACCCACCCGTGTCCCCCTCCCGGTACCCCCACACCTGTCTTCGCCCCCCCTCCTCCGTGCCCACCTTCAGGTCCTCCATCGCACTCTCGCACTCCCCCCGTGCCACCCCTACGCCCCCCCTCCCGCAGCCCCCCGATGTCCCCCCGAGCGCCCCGAGGATATTGCTGGTGCAGCTGCTGCAGGAAGAGCTCGGTGGGCAGGAACAGCGAATGCGTGAGCACGATGTCATCCAGCAGCGAATCTGGGGGGGATCGGGTGGGGGTTGGGCACGACACCCCCACCCCAAACCTCGCACCGGGCCCATCCCCGCGCCCCGCGCGGTGCCCCGCGCTGACTCAGAGCCCCTCCCGCTTCACAGCGCCGTGGGGGCACCGCGGGGCCGCCCCGGGACGGTGACATCGGGGGACGCCGCAGCGGGGCTGTCCGACGGGCACCGACGGCACGGGGACGCGGAGCCGGGAGCGGTGCCACGGCCGCGACCTTTGGACGCGCAGTGCAGCTCCGCGTCCGACTCCGTCCCACGGTCACAACCGCGGGGCAGCCCCCCCCCGCAACCCCGCCGCACGGAGCTCCGCCAGCGGCTCAACGCCCCCCGGGCACCGCCTGACCCGGACCCCGCACTGGGGCCGGGGGGGTGCGGGGCTGTCCGGGCAGGTGCGCATCCCCCGCCCGCCGTGCAGCCCCTCCGGAGCGCTGCGCGGAGGCGGCGCCGGGATCCCCCCGCGGGTCTCCGCGTCCCCGTTCCCCCCCCGACCCCCGAGCGCCGCCCCCTCCGTCCCTGCCTCAGTTTCCCCACAGCTCCGCAGCACCGTCCGGGTGCCCGCAGGGACCACGCGCGGCTGAAGGGCCGCCATCCCCGCACCCCCCGCGCCGCCCCCCCCGCTCCCCACGCGCGTGTCGCTGCACGCAGAGCCAACGCTGCCAGTCCCGGCGCGCGCCCCCCCCCGAGGGCTCCGCGG